AGGTTATGCGGGTTAATTTTGTACCTTCTGCCATTATATGTAACCAACAGCTAATGAATTATTTTCAGGTCAGTTAAAAGAAATTGCATCTTTTCCCACAGCACATTTGATGATCTCTGAGCCAGAAACTGATGTTGGATTACCCGTCCACACTATACAGGATTAGTTATCATGGCTTTTTGTCTGGATAAGTATTGACAAACAAAGTACAGGTTATATCACTTGAAAGACATAACAACAACACAGATGCAACACAGTCTTTATTCATTTCATGCACAGTTGCCAAAGATGTTGAGCCACATGGAAGCGGTAGAGGGCAGAGCAGATTCATGTTATTTTGTTTTATTACCTGATTTTTTTTTTATGTATGCATCACTGTAACATGCTAGACAAGAATGCTGGCTGCACCTGGTATTAGAGGTTTTTTTTTTTACATCATGTCGCTGGGATTTTTTGTGTTGTCAGATGTTTGATTGGAAACTCAAAGTTGTCAGGGGCACATTCTAATGTTTCCCCTCATACAAACATTATCCATCCATTTTTTTTTACGGCACTTGTCCTCACTAAATTCACGGGTGAGCTAGAGCCCATCACAGCGGAGTTTGGGCACCCTACTCCCTTGGACTGGTTGCCAGCCAAATGCAGCATACAAAGGTTATGTTTGTCTTAAAAAAACATTCTGGACTGAACAATTAATGAGGGAATAGCTTAATTAACTCCCACTTTCTCAAACAGATGGTGATTAGGCTAAAGTGACAGTCACTCGTCCCCAGACAGTCCAGAGAGCCAACGTCTGGAACAGCTTCGATAACCTTCGAACTATCGCAAGCGATATCTCTCAGCGCCTTAATTAGTGGTTTGGTTTTTACACATGGCTACTCACGTCCAAGAGAAGCCCTCTTCTGTCTCCAATCATCTGAGATTTAGACCACATCAGACCATAGTCAGGGGAGAGTTGAGGCATCTTCAAAACAACCATCAGCCACCGCAGGCATGTTAAGAATAAGACCATTTATCTCTTGCACTACAAAGTTATCATCGTTCTTGTTAAGATCTCATTTGTTCACACAATGCTCCTAAAAATAAGGTTGCGCACAACAAATGTGAGGGGGGAGGAAGAAAAATGGCCTTGGGGGGAGAGCCTTTACCTTAATACTGTGTTGGGCTGAACAATGAATCAAATTCAAATCAACATCGTCATCTAGCAGAATGCAATTTTCAAAGACTTGTTTGCATTATTGTTGTAATTTGATTCATGACTTAGTAACGTGTGTTTCCCCACACTTTTTTTTTTTGTAGAATTCGCTCAAGTTGTCGTAGTTAAAAACAGACTGCTAGTGCAAGTGGTAAGTAAGTTGCAAACTCCAATTGAAGGAATAATTAACGAACTGTCTTCGTCAGCCTAACCTTAAGAAAAAAAACATTTATGTGTAGTCAATGGTGTAATACAGATTAATTAATTTATTGCTTGTGTTTGTTTAAAAAAAAAAAAATCCTCTGAATCGAATCTATTCACATGCCCGCGTTCATATGAAAGGACCTGCGACTGTGCAGTGTCGTGGAAAACCATCGGTTTAAAAAAGTGGCACAGACATTCCAACCAGGTTATGCAACTTCGAATCCAATCGAATGGCAACCTAAAGAATTAACACTGAAATGAGTCATAAGGTTCTTACCAAGGCCCTGCCCGACCGAGTTAACAGTCTCTAGGATGTGATCCGGTCGGTCAGAGGATTCAAATCAAATTCTCCCCGGTTATAGCTTCATTTTGCTCAATTTGAACAGATAAGTCATCGAATACTAAACGATTTGCTATCTCTTAGCATTTCATGAAACACTGTAATGAATTGATGGGATGTTGTAATGATCCATTGTTTTGACAATGTCGTCTCCCTGAAGAGGGGCATAACAAGCATGTCAGTTAAGCAAGTCTTGCGACCATGGAAACCAAGGTCTGCTACACAGAAACTCCAGAGATTTCCCTTTAAAACCCACGGGGCTTTGTGGACCACAATGCAGTGCACATTTTTTTGGAGCAGTTCCCCAAACAGTTGCAGTCTTATGTCACTATTCAATTGTTCTCAAATCGGGTGTCCCAAAAAGTGTTCCTACCTGATAAAGCCCACTTGCGCAGAATGCTCACATCTTTTGTTTTCTCATGGGAAAAAAAAAAAAAATGACAGTTTTAGATCACAATAAGTCAATGTATGTTATGTGTGCAACTAATGTTTATATTCAATGGTACTTGATGCCCCTAAGAGGTGATTCTCAAAGAATGTACAAGTACAGGTACTACCACTGAATGAAACGTTTCAATAGTGCATAATGTTCTCCTGTATTTTGGTTATTATGATGGTACTGTATTGTTTAATTCAAAGGTGTCAAACACTGGTCCTCAAGAGCCACGATCCTGCATGGTTTCCGTTTCCCTCCTCCGACACACTTGATCTGAGCGAATGAGCAAGCTCTGCAGAAGCCCGATAATGATCCTGGCCATTTGCATTGGCTGTGTTGGTCGAATACAGGCTGGATAGTGGCCCATGAGGACCAGAGTTTGGTACTGTTTTGCAAAGTTCAATTCTGATCTGAGAATGTACCAAAGCGACTGAGAACAAACCGTAACAGAAAGCCGTGCTGTACAATTGAGAACAGGCGTTTATCTCCTGTCCACCACCTCCACTGAGTAAGCCTGCAGCAAGTGTTGACAGACTTGCAGCTCACTGCATCAGACTCTTCAACTTGCACGTGCTGCACTCTACTACGGACTGGCCAAGATGCAGATTCCATTGACTCCCGAAACAGAAAAATGCCAACAACACGATCAGGCTGCCTCATTATCACAGTCGTTTGTCTTAATACCACATCTCTTTTTTTTCAATAAATAGAATTATACAAGCTGTAGAACAAATTCATGGTGGGAAAAGTTTTTAAATTATTGATCTTTTAATCACAAACACCTGGCATTTCAACAGGGGTGTTAACCTTTTTTATATGGACTATATCGGTAGTTTTAAATAATGAAACAATATATAATTGAGTGATGAATTGGTTTGTCAATGTTAAATCCAAGTCGAAGAATTTCAACGTGGCCCTTGCATTTATCCTTTTTTTTTTCTTAATGTGACTCTTCGTAGAAAGCGTTTGGACGGACGGACAGAAGATAAAAATATTTAATACCAACGAAAAGCAGGGGCAATCGTGTCAAAGTAACATCACGAATTTATGTTTATGTCAATCATAACGGCTCTGAAGCAAACAAAACAACGATGATGTGACCCGTGGTGAAAATGCATTTGATACCCTTCTGACGCAGGGCATTTGAATGAATGGCACTAACATTCAACACAATTATGCTCTATGCAAATAAGCAAAATACTTACTTCGGGATGACTTCTTCACCTCCACGTTTCCAACATGAAAACATTTGAGCACTTGCCTATCGTATCCATAATATGATCGTGCACCAAAGTGAATTGATGTAATGTTATATTCCAGTTCATTTTGGACTCCCGAAACTAACTAGGGATGCTTTCTTTGATTTGCCATTAAAAAAAAACAACAACAACAATAACAACAACAGTGCTGCACTGTGCAAGCTATGCTACCAGGCAGGCGTATGCCTGATTGTTGGGAAGCTGAGGTGGTACTGTTTCTCCTTGTCCTTTACACTTTACCTTTGAAACTGTTATATGCTTTTTCTGACACACTGCTAATATCACAACACTCAAAAAATGTTGCCCATTGCTGATTTTCAAAGTTCCTCTTGTGCGCCACTGTTGCTTGTAGGTGGTTGGTTAATTACTGACGAGGAAGCCGCCCCTTTCCTGTCAATCAAACAGCTGCGCAATGCAAAATACTGTTCGGGGCATTTTAAAAAGGAAAAAAAAAACGAGACCGAGATAAATCATTTCGAATTTTCCACCCTTAATGTGACCTATGGCCTGTACAACTCGATACAAAAAAAAAATCGATCTGAGAGAGGAAGAAAAAAATTGATATGAAGGTTGCACAAAGTGTGCACACTCTTTTACAATTGTAACGCAACCTAGAGACGGAGAAATTCTGTATATTTCCAGTTGGTGTGGCTTTTCCAGCTTTTATGCAATTAGTACAACAGTAAAGTGAGTTTTGTGTCAAGATCATAGAAGGCAAGGCAGGATTGCGCTCAATAATGTAACTTTAATATCAAAAGCACAAAAGGCGAGTAATCGCGGCACATGGAATCAAAAAACACAAAATAAAAAAAGGTTTAAATGCAATAGCCAAAGTTACAAACACTGGGATCATATTCAACATAACTTGACTTGACTTAGGAAACATGAGAACTGACAACAAACACAAACAATGAATCAACAATGACTCAGAGGAGAAATGTTACTACATGCAAGCAAACTGACGAGACATCAAGCGACAATTGACACAAGCGGCTGAGAGAGCTGACTGGTAGACACAAAGGACTCAGTTGACGAGAACAGGCGGACACAAAAACCTAATTAAAAAAAGGGATACCGGGAATACACAAAACTACATCCACTCAAAACCAAATGGACAAAAACACAGATCTTGACAGGTTGATTTTTAAGGTAGAACAACTGAGAATTCAAACGAGCATGTGAAACATCATTGTAACACTGCTTGACAAGTTATAATAATCACGCGTGTCTATCATTGTCTGGCTTGTTTTAAGCACTGCAATGTAAACTAGGCACATTGTATCAGTATGACATATCACCAGTTTTCAAGAATGTACTAGTTTGCCACTGCCACATGCTTAAAATATTTGATAGTCTTCTTTTATACAGTATCACACTGAAGCTTCTTTATTGTTATGCCAATGCATTATCCAACAAAAAAAAATGGAATGTAACATGTTACAATACTTTGGCCCCATGTCCCTTGTGGTTTACTGCTCTTCCACACACACACACACACACACACACACACACACACACACACACACACACACACACACACACACACACAAAACAATAAGCCTTAAATGCCTTGTGTAGCTAAAATACAATTTATTACTGCTTTCAACTCACAACTGTTACAGGGATTATATTACATGCAGTCATAAACACAGGTTTTACCATAGCATTCGCAGTGTGCACTATGATTAAATATGATGGCCTTGAATTATCTGAAAGTACCAGACAGCCACAGTACAGTTAAAGGTTTCATGGTAAACTTGAAGTATGACACACAATACCGCTTACACGGGGTCAGGACAGCAGTTACAGGCAGCTACAGGACAAATCGTCCGTCCACCATCTTTAATACTCATTCTGAACATATTTGCCAATATAATTTATATATGTGTTTCACGAAAGGCTAATAATGAACAGCAGCAATGGTCTGAGAACAGGAAACATCAGTCCATATGTGTGATGAGGAGGAACGATGACGCAGCGCTTCAATTCTAGAAAAGCATAGAGAGAAAAAAAATCATAAAAATGTGACTCTTTGCCCTTGTTTGATAACTTGGCTTATATAGAATTGGGGTCAGGAAAGAGCACACTGAAAAGCTCTCATATACATGTACACTACTGAAATGCCGTCAAACACACATGACTGAAATGCCCACGACTGAAAAGTATATTTCAGTGTATTGTATGTGCCTATTTCGTGTGATGAGTGAAAGGATTTCAGTTGTGTGAAAGTCCACAGCCCCTGTGTGTTTGTCAGCATTTCAGTAGTGGCTTTTATAGTATTGGGGTCAGGAAAGAACACACAAACATATGAGGGACAGTCAGGAAAAAAATTCAGGTTTACCTCACAAATATTACTGAAATGCTTCCATACACAATATTGAAACAATGTCTTATATACTCCTGAAAAGCTCTCATATACATGTACACTACTGAAATACCCTCACACTCACTACTGAAATGCTCTTTTCACATGACTGAAATGGACACTACTGAAAATTATATTATTTCTGTGTTCTGTGAAAGGATTTCAGTTGTGTGAAAGTCCAGCACACGTGTGCTTTAATAGTGTGTTTGTGATCATTTCAGTAATGTGTATAAGCAAAAATAAATAAATAAATAAACAAGTGTGTATGAGAGCCTTTCAGTAGTGCTTATGAGAGCATTTTAGTTGCGACCATGAGAGGATAAAAAATCCGTAGTATGGGTGAGAGCATTTCAGTGATGTGCGTGCATGAGAGTGTTTCATTTGTGTGTGAATGAAAAAAATTCTGTAGTGTTTCAGACGTGAACATAAGGGGACATTTTTGAGGTAAAAAGTGTAGCGTGTGAAACCAATTCAGTCGTGCATGAAAGCTTTTCAGTAGTGTGTATCAGAGCGGTTCACTGGGGTTTATAAGTGTGTTCAGTAGTGTGCCTGAGAGTGTTGTGAACACTGGAAGACATCAGTAGTATGTCATAACATTTCAGTAGTGTGCATGATACCAATTAGGTAGTGTGTAAGAGCTAAATAAATCAAGTTATACTTGAGAGCAGAGTGTCAGAGGGAACAAAAATTGCAGTGTGTAAAAACTTTTCGGGAGTGTGAAGTTTTTTAATTGTGTTCGTAAGAGTATTTCAGTTACGTGCTTCAGCAAAAAATTAGTAGCGCATGAGTTTCTCAGTTGGTATCATGAGTCTTTTAGCAGTGTGAGAGCATTTCAGAAATTTAGAGTAGTGTGGAAAAAAAATCTGTAGTGTGTGAAAGCATTTTAGTCATGTGTGTGCGAGAGTGTTTCGGTAGTGTGTATGACAGCTTTTCAGTCCTGTTATGAGGGCATTTCAGTAGTGTGTGAGAGGTAATCCTGGACGGCCTCTCATAAAAACATGTGTTGTTCATTTGCTGCAGTGCAGAACTGCACCAAAGATCCCATCGGGCAATCCTACCGCGTTGACACCCGTGCGCTCACTCAGGGCTGCGTCGCCTCCGTTTGCCGAAAGCTTGCGCCCCCACGCTGGTGGGCACAAAGTTGCGGTGGCCCAACCCCCCGGAACGACTCAAAAAGTCAGCCAAGCGGTGGGTGACGCAGGTGGCGGTGTTGCAAGCCCTCTTCTGTGCTGTCGTGTTGCTTGGAAGACATTTCATAATATTCAAGATTAGAAATGATTTCAGCACCATCCACAACAGCTCATCACAATGATTTGTTAGGATTCAAACAAATTGCATGGGGTAATAAGTACACTGTTCTATGCCTGCCGTTTTCATACACAGATGAGATCCAATACAAGAGCTCTATCAAAAAGTCTACAGTTACAAAGATTATAATGCTCATTTGTGTGAATGTACTTCATATATTTGCCATTGTAAAATGAAATTCTATATTCAGGTTTCTCCAGGAAACAATTACATGAGTTTCTTTTTTTCCCCCTGCTAAATTGGTTATGTTAGGACATATTACCCAATTAAAACAGCATATATAATTTTTCTACGTATTAAGTTACGACAAGCGTGTACTGTATGTGATCAGAGGTGTATTTAATATTTGTGGTTGGAGTTTTTTATTGAAAACTTAGTAAGTTGCTCAACATAAAGGCACTATAAGTTTATTTTTTTAGTATTGGAACTCATCACATTGTAGTGGTTCCCGTGGTTTCATATTGTTGATACTAATAAGCAAGATACGTTGATGTCTTGAGATACAAGCGACTCCAAGTCCAAGTTTTTCGAGACATGACTTTCATTCCACCAATTCTTTGCTTTGACTTAAGAGTGCAAACAGCAATTCTGCAAATAATGAACAGTTCCTCAAAAATGAGGCTTCAAGCTGTGACTCCCAGTTGAAGTTCACTGTCAAACTAAACATAAAACAAAGAGAATTGCATCTTGTGAATTAACAGTAAAACAACAAAATCACGTTGCCATATGAATGGCCCGCTATGCTTCATGCTAATTTAAAATGAAAATGCCATTGAGATGCAAACAGTCAGCATAGATAATGGTGGTTTTAGAACTCTTTAAACCAGGTGAGTCAAACACATTTTTGTCACGTGCCACATCGCAGTTATGGTTCCCCTCAGAGGGCCATGATGACTGTGACTGTGAAATGAAAATGTATTATATTATCACGTGTATAACAAATTGATGGATTTTAAAAATTAGAAGTGATTAAATACTTGTGTGTTCAGCTATTTCTCAATTTGCTTTAAAGGGAAGGATTGGTAACAAAAAATACTAGTAATATCTAATATTTCAGTGTTGTTAAAAGTGAAGACAATTGCATGAAACATAAAGCCGATCCACTTAATTTGCCCTCACAGGCCACATGAAATGCTGTTGCGGGCCAGATCTTCAGTTTGACACGGGTGTTTTAATCCATGGATATTTGAACACATGTTGGAGCAGCACATGTTGATGAAAAATGTAACAATACTCAGGGGCATATATTCTTTATCCTCCTCTTAAAACGAAGTGTTTTATCGCGTATCTCAAAGCACCATTGTATTTTAAGAAAAAAAAATCTTAAAGTAACAATAATAATAATAAAAGATAATCATCTTTATAACGTTGAAACTGTTGTTACATTTTATTGTTGTCATCGGAAGTCATGTAATATATTCACCAACTGCTGAATGATCGAACAAAAAATAATGCTTATCGTCTCATTACTCTTTGTAGTGTAGAACTCAAGCTCTCAACAATGACAAATGAAATGTAGGACATTCCTCTGAAGATAGTCAAGTGCAGAAACAGACGGATGAACAAGAAAGGCAACGGAGGAAGAGAGAGGCCCAATAGGAATATTTCAATTGTATTCAAATTGCTCAGCTAGACTTCTCTTCTTTCCAGGTGTCCCTGGTCCCACATCAGTGCTGGGATAGGTTTGGAGTTTGTGAATATCCTGGGACAGTTTGCCCAACACGCAAGTGCTTAGGCCGGTGCAGCGCTTTGACATGGACCTATCTGGGCTGGTAGAGACACACACATGCAGAGACAGCTCACAGTGACAATGGCCTGTTGCAGGTATAAATCTGAATATGGCGCAAGCTCCAAGACAAATATGCTTTTAAAGTCAAAAGTGGAGTAAAATGCAACATCATGTGTGGTGTCATGCAGGACTGGCAGTGTTGTGATCACCCGTGTGATAAAAGAACATGATGAAAAATATTGTTTGGAATGGACAACAACCATAAAACACATACTGTTACACTTCGGAGACTCCACTGCACTAACATGTACTAGTTGGCTTAACATGACATGCATTGACCGACGAATGGAAAATGATGATGTCATGCATGATCACATTCACGATCATACTCAATACAGGTCCAGCATTTTTCCCCAAAACAATTTAAGACTAGGGTCCAACCAGCGTTGATTTTTTTCAAACTGATCCCGATTTCGATGTTTGGCTGAATAAAATTCCCTTACACACATATACAGTATGCACCCATAGATTTGTTAAAAAAAAAAAAAAAAATGTGTGTGTGTGTGTGTGTGTGTGTGCGTGTGTGTGTGTGTGTAAATGATCATTCATATATAAGAAAGATATATATACAAAATCTTTCTTATATATGAATGATCATTTAGCCGTTACCTGTTTCCATCAGCTGTTTGGCGCTCTTGCTCATCTGAAGTGAGCTGCATGAACTCTTTAATGGCTCTTAGTAACTTCTGAATATCATCATTCGATAGAGTGACTCCATCAGCATTGGGGTCTTCACGACCTCTGAAATACATTCACAGTAAGATAGTTTGTATTTGCTAGAATATATGCAGTCAATTTTGTGTCGTTTTTTTTTTTTTTTTTTTTTTTACCTGGATGGAGCTGCCTGAGTGATGTACATCTGACAAAAGATCAGCACACAAGCAAACAGAAGAGTCCCGAACTTGAGTGTGATCATGATTGCCTGTGAATAAAATAGGAGATCCAAGAAAGTTACTTTGAACTACGCTTTACAAAAATAACATCCACCCAATACAAGTGAATCTTCAAAATGGAGCTACTGCGCAATTTCATCACAGTGCTTGACCAATGATAAATGGATCCGTATCTACTTACCATAAAATGATACAGGATTGGCGAATGATGATAGAAGTGTCGGCTCAGTTGAGGATGTGATGCTCGCTCCCACAGAACTGGCTTTTATGCATGTTCCCATGGGTTCTGTGATCACTTGATCACGGTCCACTGGCAGCCAATCATGTCCTGGCGAACCTGTAAAAAAAAAAAAAAAAAAAAAAACACAGACGCAGATGACATCAGTTCATATGTGGTTATGAAATTTCTCAAGTTAGAAATTATGCCACGGACTGCAATGGTTGTCAAGATTTGTAAGTTTCCTTAATTTATGATTAAGAGGTATGCAGCATCTTCCACACCTACTTTGATTTAATTAAACGTAAACTCTGCCCTTCAGCATTAAAGCAACATGATAACGTAATGGTCTCTTAAAATCATGCTGATTTACTTGCATATTTTTCATTGCTATGGATAACTTGGATCACCTGCTTTAGTGGGCTCTCATACCAGCCAGAACAGTAATGTCAACGCTCACATCTCAGCTATCATTATGTCATAAGCAGTGGAAAAACTTAGAAGCTTAAAAAACTTAAAGCAAAGAGAACTGTGGGAATAGTGTAAAAAAAAAAAAAAAACACAGAAACAATGCTGTGAACTGTCTGTGCGCCACCACATTTGCACAAGTTCCCACAGAAACACGCTACCATTGGTCTTTGAAGGGTCCGCAAGGGATCTCAAAACAGTAAAAATCCAAGTCATGTAAATACATATTTTTATAGGACAGTGGGGGCGGTGTTCACAGCGACCTTTTAACAGTTAGTAATTGCTGCACCTGTTTTTAGCCTGTTGTGAACCTTTCATTCAACATGTGCTATGATGTCATGTGTTTTGTAACGATGTCATTTTGTTCTCTGTGTATTTGTATTTGCTTTTATTTTGCGTTTGCGTTTTTTTTTTTCATTTTGTTTTACTTTGCCGGATGCTGACAGGCCGGCATTGCAAATGAGAATCTGTAAAAAACGAAAACAAAAACCTGCATCCTCAAGTTTTTTTTGGCATCAGGCCGGAGGAACCGAAGTAGAGTTTGAGAGCTTCCAATGTTTACACTCGAGAATCTTCCATTGAAGTGTGAAACTAAACATAGAATGTAACTGCATGCAAAATCTGCAAGTAGCAATTGAGGAAGCGACTAACAAATCTTAGCTATTAGCATGCAGTACAGTAGTTCAGAAAGCTGACTTTTATATCTGCCATGGGATTGATTTTCACTCAGGAAATGGATGGATCTTTATGTTCATGGCATGGCTCGGGATACGCTCAACTCACAATTCCATTTCAAACTTTGACAGGAACTACTGATGTCTTTGCATCTGATGAGCAGGTGCCCCAAAAGGAAGGCTCTGGAAAACGTGAATTTCTGCGACTGGCAACAATTACATCCCAGCCATCCAGATGGCAAATAATTATGTCAAGATGTAAATATGTAAGAGTGGCTCTCAATGGAACACAACAGGTTGCGCGGTGGAAGCAAACAGGAACTGAGGCCTACTAATTGTGATCAATGGTTTAACTTCATTATAATTAGGAAAATTTCATTAGGCAAAAAAGCAATTTCCACAGTGAATGAGGGGAGGTTTATACCACTGTGTGACCGTTTGACATAATCAGCAATAGCTCAAGTTCACCGAAGTAGTTTGACATCTTGGAAAAATATTTAACTTTATCTGGATACGACTAAATATCAAATAAACAATAACATGCTACTGTTACTGTTACTAACTGTTCTTCTATGATATTTTTTTTATTTCAATAAACAACACATTATTTTACTGTTGTATTAATATTATATTACTTAGGGCAACTTTTAAAATAAACAGTAACATTTAAAAATATATACTTCATTTTGAAAATGGGCTGCGATATACAGTGGATAAGTCAACACATCCCTGTTCAAATGCCATTATTTTTGTGGTATAAAAAAAATTATATTTTCAAAACTTTTTCCATCATTAATGTGACCTGAATTGACAATTCAATTGAAAGAAAAAATCTTTCTGAGAAGTGAAGTAAAAATAAACAACAGTAATAATGTGGTTACACAAGTGTCCACACCCGCTTAGAATTAGGGATGTGGCTCATGTTAAATGGGAGTCAGCACACACCAGACACCATTGAAAGTGCCTCAGATTAACCCCCAATAAAGTTCTGATGTTCTAGCAGGCTTTCCATGGTATTTTTGCTTTGCATGGATGGAACTCTAATAAGGGGAGGTAAAATTAAACAACTGAGATGATGTGGTTGTAAAAGGTACGCACACGCTCTTACACTGCAGATACGGCTATGTTCAGAATGATGAATCACATTCAAACTCATGTTACCTTGAAATGGAAGGAATGGAATGGAAGTCAATGCACCTGCCTCTATTTCAAGTGTCTCAGATTAAGCCCAAATAAAGTTCAGTCTTTCGAGTAGAGTTTTCCTGACATTTTTAACATTTCTACCAGGAGCCTGAAGGTTTTCTGCTGACATCGACTGCTATTTTAACACGGTTACTCTTTCACGGCTTTGCTGTTTCACGGCTTTTTTACGTGCAGTTTTTTTTTCCACAGAGCATTGTTTTCTGAATCTTGACTGGCTAAGGGACTTTCGACAAATGTCAACAGTACCCGCGCCTAACGGCTGTACAGGATTTCTAAAAACTTGTCAGTTGTTTGAAAGAAAACCTTTATATTTTTGTTTTATTTTTTTTAATGCTTGGCCCTGAAAAAAAGGTTTAATCTTTGATTTTATTCAATAAAGTATTGTATTCCATATGTAATAATTGTAAAAAATAAAGATAACTATTTCACGGATTTCGCTTATCATGGGTTCTTTTTGGAATGTAGCCCTCATGATAAACGAGTACTTCAAATTCCCTCCACCTTGACAAAGTCCCCAATTCCAAACTATACAGCATGTGCTACCTCCTGGCATTATCTTCAAACCTTTACAATCTATTGCAGCATAAAAGTTAAGACAAAAACTAGTTGTGTCCATCCATCCATCAATTTTCCGATCCACTTATCTTCACAAGGGTCGTGGGGGGTGCTGGAGCCCATCCGAGCTGTTTTCGGGCAGTAGGCGGGGGACACTGAACCAGTTGCCAGCCAATCACAGTTGTATTTATTTATTATTTTTATTAATCGAAAGAATGTCCAGCGTCACCATCCTGCATCTTTTTGGATGAATCTAAGCACTGACAAGATCATGCTTACAGTCGGCACACGTTTATTTGATTACACTTGACAGATGTGTTTGATGCTTCCCAGATTGCTATTTTCCAGTGAGGGGGTCTGGCAGGAAGCATCCACATGATTTGCAAGAAAGTCCTCATTAGGTAGCCCTAACAACGCTGAGTCATTGGCACAGGTCTGCAGGAGGCCATCTGAGGCCAACTAAATCCTGCCAGCTGCCTCAGCAGGAAGAAACAGCTGGATAAACAGCTTTGGAAATAATGAGCAGTGAGTAATCAGGGATAAGCCAAATAAAAGGCGTGCTTTAAAAAAGTGTGTATTAGATTTAAAAAAAAAAACACACACAAAAAACCCAGAAATAAACATTTGCAACTTCCTTCAGGATCAATGAATTACCGACCTACGTCCCTACCATGTGTATATAATTTTTGCACGTGCAAAAAGTGCAGACAGGTTGATGGTTTTAGTCGACTAGCTTGGAGAGTTTGGAATGTCGTGCATACCTCAACCTTTGACCTAAAAATGTAGTAGTGCCTGGTCTGAACTGCTCGCCTGCATTTAGACGATCAGCAGCCACTTACTTAGTGGGGCAAAGTTGATTTGCTGAACCAGCAATTCTGGAGAAATAGAGGCAATCCTCAGTTGTCGCAATGCATCTATTAAAAAAACAAAACAAAACAAAAAAAAACCTTACATATCTTATTTTTCTGTTTAAAAATAACCAAAAAGCTTTTAATTTAGCATATTTCAGTAAAGCTGTTTTTTAAAAAAATATACGTGGCATCACCAGTGACAGCTCATTCCAATATTTTTGGCCATTTTATATCTAAAAAAAGAAAAGAAAAGCCACATACTTTGGAACCTATAGTGATGTGGGTGGTGTGTTTGTGTACTCAGCACACATAAAAAATAGTGACTTTTCATTCTGAGGCTGAAAGAAAACAAAGCTTTTGACACAAAGTTAATTTTGGAGAGCATCTTTGCAAAACATAGTTTTCATTTTTTCCCGAATCCCAGTGGTGGGATCTAACAATCGATCCATCGATCAATCCATCCATCCATCCATCCATCCATCCGGCTTTTGCAACAAAACAACATGTCATGAAAAGCTGACAAGAGCATCTGAACTTGATTTAGGGCTGATCAGAGGACCTGTAAAAGTGTCAGCAGGTTAAATGGTGGAAAGAATGTGCTGATTCATAAGTGTTACCAATCACTTGAATCTGATTTGTATTCATAAACATAACGAAATCTCTGGATTGTAACTAGGTAACTGCAATGAAATAACTAGAATTAAAGCAATGTCAACAGATAACCAAAATATCAGGAAAAACCTACTAGAACAGCTGAACTTCATTTGTGGTTAATCAAATGTGCTTTACATATCAGTGGCAGGGGGCTGAAACCTCCTATGTCAAAATGTGGTAAATTCAATCTCTCTCTCTCTCTCTCTCTCTCTCTCTCTCTCTCTCTCTCTCTCTCTCTCTCTCTCTATATATATATATATATATACACACACACACACACACACAAATCTATGGGTGTGTTCGGAAATAACGCTCAGGTTCAGGCAGTAGAGATGGAAACAGTTCAAGCACGAGCTCCTGATTGGCTTACAACACATGGTATTGTCGGAAATTAATGGGAGGGGAGTGCACCTTCCCTTTCCAAACGCACACACACTCTCAGAGACATGTCAGAGCATCAGAGAGAAATTTCTGAATACACCCTATATTATTGCTCAACGCAAGGCCAGAACAGGTCATTTGGGGGCCCTAAACAAAATAATGCCAAGGGGTCCACATTTTTGGCATGCCATTTAGCCACAGCGTACTGTGCAACCAATAACGCCAGATTTCACATATTCATCACATTTTGCTGCACTGCAGAAGATAATTCAAACTTCTCATCCCAACAGAGAGTCAGTAATTACGATAGTTGATGCCAAACCTCATTCTAAAATATGAATAGAAAGAAAATGAGTTATGCTTTTGCTTTTTTTTCTCATTTTAAGCTCAAGTATCAAAACACATGAAATACGTTTTCAAGTCAAATAAAGGACACTGTGATGCAATGGAATATAAATAACTACTTCATAGTCTCACAATGAACTGTATCGTCACAATCACCAGTACAACAGTGCAAAAAGGGGAACAAAATGAAATAATTCAAATAAATATCAAAAGTGTCACACAGTAAATAAATAAGATATATACAGTAAAGTAAAACTTTAGTGATAAAGAAGTCTAAATTCTTTTGGTTCATAGCGACTGAAACTAATGTTTTGTAGAACTAGAAACCATGACTAAACATACATCTTAAAGCTTCTTTCAAGTATAAAGTGCAAAACAAAAAAAAGAATGTAAACACAGCATACATATGTAATACTTAAAGCGATGGCCATTTTTGTAGTGCTTTGTCTTTAGTTTAGGTTTTCTAAATGCCATTGCCTTCTGAGTTGCAAAGTCATTTATGACATCATTGTAAATAATCTCTCTTCCTCCCTTGTGGATGACTGCCTGCCTTGCAAATGCATACGAGGCCAAGATTTCGTGCTATGCCAAGATGTCGTGTTACTATTATCAGCAGATGGCGTGCGGTTGCCACTAGGTGACCCCTTCCTCAGCTTGTATTCAATATGCTCCTCCGCAAGTAATAATGGCGAGTGATGCCAATCATGAGGATTCCAGCGTTTGTTCTCTGCCAGAAACACTGTCAGGGTAATTCAATTTTTTTTTTTGTCTTTAATTAGCAATTGAACATGATTTTAGGATGGCGTTGTGTTGATATGGATGACAACCGCAATTCAAAGTGACCCCAACTACAAGTCAAGAGATGAGTCAAGAAAGCCACAACCTCCGGGCAACAACTTAAAAATAAAAGATAACCAAGGCATCAATCTCCAATTATTTGGTACGCGTGTTATCGTCATGAATAGTCCTCCTGATGGCGCACAATCATCTTATGTGGCCAGAGGGCCCTAAACAGGTGCTTAGTCTGTTTATAGGCTGGGCCAGCCCTGCCCACTAGTGTGTGTGTTATTCTTACAGATGATTCACCAATAAGTGTTGAAAATGACCTGCTCTCTTTGCCACAGCAATACTAATGAATGTGTATACTATCCATCCATCCATCCATTTTCTGATCCGCTTTATCCTCACAAGGGTCGCGGGGCGTGCTGGAGCCTATCCCAGCTGTCTTAAGGGAAGTAGGCGGGCGTGAACTGGTCGCCACACAAGGCACAAAGAGACGAACCATCATCCATGCTCACACTCACACTCAATCAGCCTGCCACACATGTTTTTATAATGTGGTAGGAAATTGGAGTACCCAGAGAACAGCCACGCGGGCACACAGGATGGCCGGAGCTGGAATCGAACCTGGTACCGCTGCACTGTGAGGTCGACACGCTAACCACTCGCCCACCGGGCCGCCCATGTGTATACTACTGTACATGTGGATGAAACACATACAATCATAAAAAGCCTACTTGAACAACTGAAATGTATTTGGTCTTAATCGGTGGCACCAGCAGGTGTCTTCTGACTTCCATTTGCAGATCGCCCATGGGGGGGATCCCATTTTGTGCGAGGGGATGTACAACGGCATAATCGACCGAGCGAGTTTTGTACATCATGCGTGGAAGTTGCACCCTACACACTTTGTCATTCAATTATCCATCGGCACCCAGCATCGACTCCCCCAAAAAAATAAAAAATCAGCCCATGGAAAAACGGCCGTTGGTGGGGCAGCGGAGGGCGTCACAATTTAAATTTTGCTTGGGGCCCCAAATTGCTGCAATCTCTCTCTCTCTCTCTCTCTCTCTCTCTCTCTCTCTCTCTCTCTCTCTCTCTCTCTCTTTTTCTTTTTTTTTTTTTTTTCCCCCCACACAACA